TTATTATTATTACTATTATTATTATTATTATTATTATTATTAAAAATAAAACACATATATTTTTCATACCACATCCATTTTTTTTGCTATAATAGCAAATAAAAGGTTGATACAATTGAGTGGTAGGTCTGTAAGTAAAACAGACGAATTGTACTAAAGTACAGCACGTCTCCAACAATTTTAAATATCAATTTTGTTTTTCTTCTGCGTTCGCATTAACTGTCAAACAAGAAAGTAAACCTGTCATTGTAATAGGCAATCGCTATAGCCAGTATTCAAAAAGTCAAAACTTAATCGCAAATCTTTACCAGTCTTCTCCGTTCTACGTACAGTATTGACCACGATAATAGGACGATGCTAGCAGCAGTGTTGACACAGCTTACCTAGTCAAAGATTGTTCCAAATCAACGGCAATCTAATTGCGAGTGCTTCTGCTGAAGTAGAACCGATGTTGGCAAGTAAGAAGCGTGGCTGGTGCTATCCACCACAGCTGGTTTAACACACTACTCGTCCGTGAACAATCATGATTTCTAAATTCCTATTTTGTTGCGTATTTTGATGTACATAAGCGTTTGCAACTTGTTAATGCAATTTACCGTTGCAAGGCGCTGTGTTAAACATGAATATCAAACGATCGTGTTACTGAAATACGAACTTCGAATATAATTTAAACACATTTGCTGATTTTGAAGACACGGAGATATCGATTTCTTCATAGGCCTATATTCGTTTATATACATAATTTGTTGAAAATGTTTTAAAAGTCATAAATAATAACAATATGCACATACTAACAACAAAGTGATGCGCTAAGAACGTCTACGCATCTAGCTATCACGTGTATAAAAAAGACCACAAATTAAAGAATCTGATTCTTTAATTGTCGAACAGAACTGTACAACTTAAGAATCCAAATTGTCGGACAACTGACCCTTATCACCAGCATTACCGCAAGATGGTTTAGAGTTCGTATTTTTTTTTTATTGTACCATGATTGATTTTAAAATATATTATCGTTATCATAAAAAAATAAAATGTGCTATTAAATAATAAAATTTTTAATATAAATTAGTAATCCATAGTATTTACTAATCTATAATTATATACTATAATTTATATTTTAATGTTGTATATTTAAAGAATAATCCACAATTTGCTTGTCCTCGTATTGCCTATCATTTGAACTTTATTGACAATCCTTAATTTTAGTAAGTAAGTGATTTTGAAAATCTTTAGAGGTATAAATAGAGCAATTAACTATTTGTTTGAGGGTGGGGGGAGGGGAGGTAAGCATGCTATCTACAGTAATCCAATTCCACTAGCTTTAAATCCTGGATCTGCCGCTACATGTGTGTTGAATATGAGTAGCTTCTTTGCAGGTTGCCAGCTTCTATTTCTGGGCGTCTACAGATACTTTATTTTCAAAAATTGTTCACATCGTGCCTACCATGGTTGGGCAGGGGTAGGTATGAATTCATTATCCCAACTAACAGTAAGTGTTTTGTCTGCCTCTTGAGGGGTAGCGGCCAACTGACATCAGAGGAAGTGGCGCAAGGTATATTTAATATTTCACCATACCTGCACTTTGTGTAAATAGTCATTGTTTTTGTTGTATTCGTGTTTGTTGCACCTTACATATTCATGGAAGAATAAGCAACTCAAGTCACCTATGGCGTATTATTAATATTTCACCATACATTCATGGGCATTGTTATTTATTGTATAATAAATGTATTTATGTTTATTGCACTTTACTTATTCATGGAGGAATACAATTCATTTATTTATGGTACTGATAAGAAATAAAATTTTTAACTATTTCTCATTTTGCGCAATTGACCTACATTTGTCTTATTCACATGATTTAAAATAGGCCTACGAATTGTGATTTTTTTTTTCACTATATTGGGTCATGTTACTATATTCTGTGTCCAGATATATTTTTGGACCCACTCTTTAGAATTATGTACAGGGCATAGGCCTATGCCTTTACTATCTCTTTTGTGAATATAGGCCTACAGTTTTCTTGAGCTATACTGGTAAGAGGATGCCCAAGTTCATACTCCCAAAATCTTCCTATGGTAAACATTACCCACACACGTTTCCCCCTTTCCCCCCCCCCCCCCACCACCCCACTTCCTTTTCCCGGCGACGACCAGGTCAGCTATCGGGGATCTGCTGTGAACATTTTGCTAATAACAAAGCACAAAAACATGCTGTGATCAAAGTTTTTAGACCTATGTTACTCCCATCCTATATTCATGCCACGAAACTTAGATTCAGACCCGGGATGGTCCGGTTGGAGCAAGTATTTTAGTAGAATTTAGTAAATGTACGATATAGTATACAGTATATATTGTACTTACAGTATATGTATTTTTATGATAATAAAGTAGCTATATTTTGTATCTGTATAATAATACAGAAGTAATAAATATTCCAGCCCCGCAACCTAGACTCAGAAATACCAGGATATTATCCGACAGGGTACTATGGATTACTTCAATGAAATAGCAATAAATTACCAATAATTCGCTTTTATTATTAACATTTTGTCTGTCCCCATATTTCCAAATTTTAATCACCTTAGCCTCAATCATGGTTGGCCTGAGGGGAGTATAGATTCCACATCCATGCTAACTTTAAATCTTGTGACTGCCTCTTGAGGGAGGAGTATTGGATAATTGGGAGGAACATAAAGTTGATTTGGAACTTAATAATAGTTACAATAACTAGAATAATAATAATAATAATAATTTCAAAATAATTCGTAAAATTAATCTGTAAACAATAGAAATAAATAATTAATTCCAGATATGATGCATAGAATTTCCACTCAATATAAACCATAATTATTTTTATCTTGTTTTTGATTCACTGGCATAGAGCAGAGGATTTATGCATTAATACGCTATATAAATGTATTATTATTCTTATTATTATTCTTATTATTATTATTATTATATAGCTTAAGTTTGAGGTAGAGGACAATTATTTCAAACTTTATGTTATCTTACCACAATTTGTCGATAGAAAAAGGAAGAAAAATTAAAATAGAAATTGTTTATTTTATCGTTTTTTGAATTTTGCCAAACACTCAACACAGGGCCGAAAACCACTCTTGTGTAGGCTAGAGAAGATGATAAAAAACAGGACTAAGGACACTAAATGATAAAATAAATATCATCACAGTCAAACAAACATTAAAGAACATTTCAATTGAATGAACAAGGTTTTATTTACACTTCGCTTGAAACTAGTGAGGTTAAATTTATTAATGAAAAACTCCTCAGGAGGCAAATTCATGAACAAAACACCTAATTGTTTGGTTTTTACTTCGCATTCGAAGATAGTGAGGTTCTTTTGGGAGCTCAATGGCTTGACGACCAAATGATTTTGACAGTGGCCCATAAGAACAAAATCCATAAACATGTTTAAAAATAAACCATAATAGTGGCTTTTCTATAACCAAGAAGTTGTAATGTTGAACCACTTTCTTTTCCAATTAGTTTTCCACTTACCTGGAATAGCCAAGTAGACAAACTTTGTACAAAGGTTAGCAGCAGAATTGCCCTTCTATGTAGATTGAGTCATTATCTTGACTACTAAATTTACTTTATAAGTGATTTTACCTTTGTTTGATTATTGTGACTTAGTTTGGGGAAAATGTGGTAAAAATTTGGAAGACAAGCTTCAAAAGCTGCTGAATAGGGCTGTTCGTGTGATTCTTGAAGCTGATAACCGCTCAAATCTTATTATAATGTAGATATATCTCTTGGCTGGTCCCTTCTTGGTGAAAGAAGAAATAATTATCTGCTTACTTTAGTTAAAAAATGCTCGAGTGGCAGAGTCCCTACTCAACTTAACAGTTTTACTTTATTGGAAAATGTACATAACTATTCTACCAGATCCATTGCTACTGGTAATTTACTTTTACTAAAGGGGTAGAAGAAGATTTTCATTTAGGGGTGCTTATGTCTGGAACTCTAAGGACTAGGAATTTTATCTTTTTCCGTGTATATTTCATTTTAAATTCGTTTTTAAGATAATGATAATATATATATTTGTGTATATGTATATATATACATATATATATATTATATATATATTATATATATATATATATACGAACATTTTTGTGTATCAAAATGTGATATAATTTATAGGAACTCCACTAGCATACTACTACTAGTGAAAACACTAGTAGTATAGGTAACAGCATCGAGTATACTCAATTGTGAATTTTACTAGCCGAAAAAAATATAAAAGTGTGACCGAAACAATAACAGCATGAGTGAAAGGACAATAATATAGAATACTGTATATCCAAAATGTCTAAGGCAGATAATGTATATAATGCAATGCATTGTGGAAAAAGACCTTAAGATTTTATAATCTTGGAATAATTCTTTTAATCTATAATAGCAATTGCACAATGCATTCTTAGAAGTAATCTTTAATTAAAATATTTAAGAGCCATAATGCTGAATCCATTACAAACACATCTTGCGGGAAAATAAACGGCTTTCATAAAGTATGTGTTGATATAATTCGGTTGCTGACAGCCAACTAGCTCCAAGATACAAGTCAGAAGTCTGTGAAATTCCTAAGCTGCCGATTTATCGACATTGCCTTGTCACGGAAGCAGGCGGGCGAAAAATTGGCGCGAAATGGGCAAATTCATGACCAGAACTTGTTCTAGATTTAATGAAGAAATCGGCTCAATGCCCCTGCCTGAGGACCTTCCCGCAAATATCTGTTACACTTAATGTATTGCTTTAAGAAAGGAATGAATACTCGCTAGCCAATACGAAAATACTTATTGGTGATCAGTCAAAATATGTTTCGTTTGAGAATATATCGATTAGCCTAGCATCTGTTTAAACAAAAGCAGTTTACTTCCTGAAAGGATTCTCCGCTCAAATCAAAGAGCAGTGTCCACTGGAAGTGCTGTAAAATCACGTGACGGGCAGTCACTTCAACTCCCTGAATATAAGGTACGGATCATGAAATTACTTCTTTACTTGAATCGAAGACACAGAAAGAAGACTGGAATTTTGTTTTAGCACACAAAGTTATTCGTTAGTTTTGTTCTAAATTTCCAATCTTTATTTTATCCTAAATATGGGTAAGTACCGTAATTAAAGATATTTATTTTTTGTATATAATAGACTTCTCATTCAGCAAACAAAATTCAACGATTTAAAATTATTGAAATATAACCATAGTGACCTCTTCATCTAAAGCAGCTAACTGCCATATCTTATACATTATTATTTATTTTTATTTTAAAATATAGTATATTGTCTTTAGTGAAATCCAGAGGGACTTTAAACATCAACATTTAATAGATCATTAAAAGAATCAAATTGTTTTGATTATAAGTGTTTACCCCATAAATCGTTTGAGTAATAACGTTATGACATCTATGTGTGAAAAGGAACTGAGTGAAATATTTCATTTTTTTCACTTTTAATTGAAAGTTATTAAACTCATTTAAAAAAGTAAACAATTAAACTATGTAATTTTGTTCTTTAATTTTTTAATGCATCTTCATAATACTTAAATTAATCATGAATTTATTTGATTTTTTGTTGCGACTGATTGAACGGTTCTGTTTCGCTTTTACGTGATGGATACCAGTGCTATATAAATTATCATTTATTATCATCATCATCATCATCACCATCATTATCATCATCATCATCATCATTATCATTATTATTATTATTATTATCATCATTAGCATCATTATTACTATTATTAATACCTTACACAGATAGAATTTATTCCTCTATTAATGTGTACATACTCTCATCACGGAGTACAGTATATACTTAATACAGTAATATTCCGGGCGGATTACAAAATATCCTGTATTTTCATAATACGACTATTAAATTTGTTTATGCATTTATTTTATTCTTTGTTGCGATTGATTCAGGGGCGGCCTAGCGGGAGGTCCAGGCGAGGCAAATGACCCCTCGTCAGGGACTCTGGACCTCCCGCTTGGACCCCCTGTCGGGGAATTTCCAGCAAGGTCGTCGGGGAAAAATGAAATCTCGACCGTCGAAAGTACAATAATAATTAGGTATGCCTGCAGACTTAAGCTGTCAAATTTTAGGGATTAAAAACTGTTTAGTGCGTATGTGTACGAGGTGTTGTATAATATCGCGATCTTATGGGCTGCGGTGGTTGTGCCAGATCATCGTTGACAGGGGCTGGTACCTCCGACAGGTGGTTAGTACCCCTGACAGGCGACATCTTACTTTGCGTGGTTTTCTATCGAATTATCCTTTTTAAATAAAGAATACCATAAGAAAGACTTCCGCAACCGGGGGGGGGGGGAAGGGTGTGGCCCTTGTCGGGGAGCTTGGACTGCTTGTCGGGAAGCTGGACCCCTCGTCGTGGAATTCCTGGCGCCGACCCTGGATTGCCATGGACGGTTTTGTGTATCACTTTTGTATTAAACACACGTGGTGGATACCAGATCATAAGCAGCAGCAGCATCACCATCCTCATAATCATCACCATCATCATTATTATTATTATTATTATTCTTATTATTATTATTATTCTTATTATTATTATTATTCTTATTATTCTTATTCTTATTATTATTCTTATTCTTATTCTTATTCTTATTCTTATTCTTATTATTATTATTATTATTATTATTATTATTATTATTATTATTATTATTATTATAGTAACATTCCGGGCGGGTAATTACAAAATATCCTGTACATTTATAAAATAAGTCTTCTTCCTAATAGTGTACACACTCTTGCTAGATACTTTGTTTTAAAAATGAAGATACAAGTGGTAGAATTATAGTTATCTATGGCCTCGAAGAGGAAGCTTCTACCATGACCCCATAAAAACATACCGTAATAATTAGAATAAAGTAGCGCCCATCGACAGCCGACGCCTCTATAAGCTTCACATTTTATTCCAGTCTTTTGATGAAATGCATAATAAAACTAGCTCTCATTCGAGAGGGTTTCACAAACTACGGCTATTATCCAGTGCAGGTTCATTTGAGCACCACTCAACCCGATGAGTGGGACAACCAACAATGAGAGGTTCGAACCTCTACCGTGATCTCGAATGGAAACCACTGTGCCAACTGATAGAAAACCTTTTCTAAATTTGATATCATATTATTATGAGCTTTAAATAAACAGAATGAACAGCTTGTTACCTATTGTTACCTGGTGACTACTTTCTTAAACCTTTGCAGCCGAAAATTTGGCCTATTGTAATATTATCACTCATTGCATTGTATTTTATATAATTTAAAAATACAAAGTTTTTGGTACTGAAGTTTTGTTTAATAAGTATTTAGAACCAAAAATTATTTTCCTTACCAATAACAGATGCAACAATAATAAAACGATTCCAACTGTTTGCAAATACCAATAAATTGTCTAGTAAATTGATTGTATATTTTTAAAGTATAAATCAGAATTCGTATTTAGTGTCTCATAGGATTTGGTGAGTATTAATTTGTCTTTAAAACGCAATTAATTAGATTGAATGTTTGAGATATTTCAGATTACACCACAGAACCCGCACCCAATCCTAAATTAGGCCTAAGAAACATTTCTTAAATTATATTGTATACCTTAACTATTTATGAATATTTGTTTCTTTTTTTAATTTAAATTAAGAACTTATAAATTAGTTGAACTAACTTATTATTATTATAATAATATACGGTAATATGTTAGTGCGATAAAGCGTTTCACGCTCAAACCAGAGCTGCTTCAAGAAAATGCAAGTTACTGAAACATTATTATAGACGGTGGTCTTTGCTTTCATCTGCGTTGTTTTATTTTTGTTTCTTATATCAGGGACCTATGCTTATATTTACTACTGTTAGATGTATTTTGTATTAACCAAAAGTGAAATAATGCTATAGGCCTACAAGTGCTGTAATTTATGCAAGAATTATTACTGTAGGCCTATTGTATGATCAGTTTTGCGACATAACGTCGTACCTTACCACTCCCAATATCTTGCCGCGTCTGTGGTTAAAAGAGTACTTGAAAATTGTACAAAAATATTTCTTTCAGTAGGTCGTAAACTGCCACAACCAGTACCTTGTTGAGTGTACGGTTACAAGTGTATATTATTAACTGTATTGTATGATAATTTCCCTCCAATAGGTCGTACCTTGCCGCACCCAGTATCTTGCCGAGTGTGCGGCGACAAAAGTTTCGGAAAGCATTATGGTGTGTACTGCTGCGACGGCTGTAGTTGCTTCTTTAAGCGAAGCATCAGGAGAAAGATGCAGTATACATGCATTGGTAAAGGCAACTGCATCGTCGATAAGGCTAGACGCAACTGGTGCCCACATTGCCGACTTCGCAAATGCTTCTATGTCAAAATGAATAAATCGGGTATGTATCTTGGAAGTATTGCATTTTAGGCAGTTTGAATGCTAGCCAATAAAAATAATGGACATAGCTCATACCAATACTTATAATTTCACATATATACACACACACC